ATGGATGGATGGATGGATGGATGGATGGATGGATGGGAAGGATTGATGAATGATAGGTGAATGGATGGAAGGATGGATGAATGCATGAATGGATGACAAACTGGATGGATGTAATGGATGTATAGGAGGGATGAATGGATAAATGCATGGATGGATGGATGGATGTTGAGAAACAAACTTCTCACATCAGAGACCCAGCATTCTTACCCTTGCAAATTCTCGTTTTTCCAGATCATTAGACTGACTATACAAAGACCCAAGGATCTTCATGGTTTCATAGTTCCCTGTCATGGCTTTGAGCACTTTTTCAAAACACTGGGCTGCCTGAAATCAAAGGAAAAAGATATCAAAATTGCTATGTTGATGGTTTGCAAGCATTACCAAGAGAGTCAAAAGACAAAAACACCTATCTTGGTGCAGTTACTGTAATTTTCATAAACATGCAAACTTTGTGTCTGTGAGTTGCACGCTGAAATTTGGTTTTTCTTTGGCGCCAGTCAGAAATATGAAAAGTTACCGACTGATTAGGTTTGATTGATGGCAGCAAAAAACCAAATTTCAGCGTGCAGCTCGCAGACACAGAGTTTGCATGTTTATGAAACTTGCAGTAATGATGGATGCTACCAATGAATGGCACTAACATGGTTAAAAGAACCATGAATAATGGAGTAGATATCAGCTATATCAGCTCCTTTGGGGGAGTGGGGGGGGGGGGGGAGTGGACCCTGTGCACCTCTCGCTTAGACCTACCCTTGATACTTACATTATTTAAATCACGGCGAGCAATATACATCTGTCCCAGACCAAAGTAAGGTAGAATGAAATTAGGAGAAGCAAACTGTGTGGCTTGGTAATAGTACTGGAATGCCTGGTCAAAGTCTCCCTGGAAAAACAGAGTTCACATGGTCAACTACCTCCTTAAGTCTCCAATCTGTTATCTATAATAAGACAGTTCAAGCCTGTAGGATAATTAACTCTCGCTATTGCGGACGCTCGTTGTTTGGGATCCCAAGTGATGGACCCAAGGATGTCTAGCATGATAAGTCGACTGAACTTTATCTTTTGTGTACCAATTGTCCCCTTCACAGTTCCCTGCGTCATCTTGAAAGGTAGCCGTGCCTTTGCATCCAAGCGAGACGAACGGTACTTGCAAGAGACCTTTTTTGAACACCTTGGACAATTATTCACAGGTCTCTATCACTGCAAACTCACCGTTCGTCTTGCTTTGATGCAAAGGCATGGCTACCTTTCAATATGGCGCAGGGAACTGTGAAGGGGACTGTTGTACAGTACCTGTACATGGAAGGCTCTAGCCAACTGATAGCAGCTCTCTGCCTGCATAGCTTCTACTTCTGTGCCGTGAAACGCATGAAGAGCAAGATGTTGCACTTTGCTGTAATCCTGTGAGAAAAAGAACAAGATGACGGCATTCAAAAATGATATGTAACATTTAAAAAAACATGAATAATTAATGAACCTAGAACAATACAAAATCACTACCGTGAAGGCATCTATGAACCCTGATACAGAATTCGTCCTGATTTGCATAAAGTTGACTTTGAAATATCTTGCCCAAATTACATTTAATGTTAAAATTTTTAAGAACTATTAATCTAGACATTTTAAAAATAATATACAATATTCGCGTGATATCTGTATGAGGTTTAAAACAGTTTGCTTGCAGCTCGCTGTTTTAAATCCTCATACAGATCTCCTGCTCATGTTGTATATATTACATAAAGAATAGAACCCATTTGGTATTTTAGCAAAGGCCTAGTTCTAGTTGGTGTTAGCAGGCTTTCCCATTTCAGACCACTGTCTTTCTCTTGACTAGAAACTTAAATACAGAAATTTAAAAGATTTCTGATTCTTACGAAGGGAGAAAAACTGGAAGGAGAAAAACTGGAGAACCCAGAGAAAAACCTTTTGGCAAGGGAGAACAACACATCAAACAAACTCAACTCACATATGATCTAGTTTGAGACGGGCTTCAAACCCAGACAACAGCGGTAAGGGGTAAGCGGGAAACTACTACGCCACCCATGAAAACATGTGTCTGATGTCTATAGAATGTTTTTTTTGATTTTTTTTGGCCCATAACCTTACATGTCCACCTTACTTTACTAGTTTTTCCTTGAGCATTTGGGGGGAAAATAATCTCACCTTTTTGAAAAAGAAGTGGTTGGCAAGATGATTGAGAACCATGGGATTTGTACTGTCGATAGTATAGGCATTCGATAATAACTGTACACCAATCTTGATGGAATCAGCCTAAGGGTATGACATGAATAATGCATGAAACTAGGTATCATATACAGGGGCGGATCCAGGGGAGGGGTGAAGAGGGTGTGCACCCCTCCCTGGTTACACTTTGTCTTCCTACTTCAAAGATAACCAATTTTGTTTTTTGACTTGGCTTCCAAGGGGTGCTTCCCTCCCTGGGTTAACATTGTGTGCAGCACCCCTCCCAGAACAAAATACTAGATCCGCCCCTGACATATTATGGCTGTCAACTTGAAAATTTATACTACCATACACACTCTTAACATTTTCTTTTTTGTTATTGTAAAAGACAATTGTAATCTGAGACAGCAATTATTGTAAAATATAACATTATACTTGGGACACTCAAACCGTGAAGATTTTTTCAGGTTATTATTTCTTTCAAACCCTCAAAAAATAAAGCACTGAGTTCGAATACATGTACATCAAGTGATCAAAATAACTCATATTTTCAATCAATAGACCTATCCCGAATTCGCTTGACTGGTCATGAAACAATGGTTTCAAGTCGAGGTTTGAACTTGATGAATAAAAGAATCAAGTTCAGTCCCAGCTTAAAACCATTGTTTCGTAGTCAGTCAAGCAAATTCAGGATAGGTCTATTGGATCAAGGGATGATTTACAGTATGTATTTAGGAAATAATAACCAAAAACTCAAAGTTTTCACGGTGTATAATAATTTTTTTATTTGTAATTCATGTGCAAAAAAATAAATCTATAAACTAAATATATCTATCATTGAAAACACACTTTTCTTTACCTAACTAGCACAAACCTTTTTTGAATTTAGCTCCAGGATGGCAAGACCAATCATTGCTCCTGTGCATCGAGGTTCAAGTTGCAATGCTCGTTCAAAAGCAAGTCTAAGGAAATCAAATAATAATAATGATGATGATGATTTAAAAAAATAAAGTCAGGGCATGACTAACTCACAGATCAATCCCTGAAACAACCTCTGGGCTGATTTAAGTCAGGGCATGGCTAACTCACAGATCAAACCCTGAAACAACCTCTGTGCTGACCTATTTCAGAGCAGTTGGGCTTTTAGAGGGAGGAAAACTGGAGGAAAGCTCTGAAGACACAGGATAGAACCAACCTTTGCTTTTCTAAAGCATGAATGAGTCATGTACTAACCTGGCCTTATCTAGCTTGTTTAATTTGACAAAACAGTGTCCCATGCCAAGACGTACAGCAGCTGAAATCAACAAAATGATTTTCATATAATAGCATACGTATACATAGAGGATATTACATGGGCGCGCAGAGATACGAAATTTATCTTCAAGTGTTGAAAAGATTTCCAAGCACCCATGTAATATTCTATTTATTATATATTTATCCATAAAATCAACCTAATAAGCTTTTTATCATTATGAAAAGATTTTATTCATAAAGTAATAGCTTAATTACACATGGTAACGATATTTTCTCATCATATGAAAATACCAGTTTTTCGAAAAGGAGAAATATAGGTATTTTATGGATAATTATATGATAAAATATCATTATTGCATATACATATGTACGATATGCCATTGAAAATTTGTTTTTTTAATTAAAAAAAACATGCAAAAAGTTTGAATGAAAAAAAGTTCTTGCCTGCGCTGGCTATGTGTGCATGTGGTTCATTGATCCATAATAATTATTTGTTGGTATGTCCTCTTATACAGGACGTCTCTTGACCAATCAGAAAGCAAGAAAATTTACATTTGTTCTCAAAAGTCACTTCTACCATGCTTTAATATTTATTTATTACTTCCTAGATATTGGATTACTGAAGAGAACACAGGAAAAGGTTATTTGTATTTCTTAATTGTGGCATTACCTGGACAATTAGGGTTAGTTCTCAGTGCCTTCTTGTAGAATGCTAATGATCCTTTATAATCCCTCTTGTTGAACGAGATACATGCTTTACCTACAATAACATCAATACAATCACAAACGTTATCAGGGGCTTTTCTTGGCCACGTTATATTAGCCATTCTGAGGTTGAAGAAAACTGGGTTGAGTTGTAAATACAGTGCATTTTGGGGATGTTTTAGGGGATGAAATAGAGGCCATCTTGAATATATGTAGCCCAAAGAAAAGTCCCACAATGCATTGCAATGCCAACCCTACTCATTTTTTACTCAACCGAAGAATGGCAATAAATAGCAGTATTAAAAAGTATATAATGCCTTGTGCTTACCTAAAAGAGCAGGAATATTGTTCCCTGACTAAAAAAAAGAGTTGAAAATATGAGATATATTGCATAGTGGATTATTCACTAAAACTTTGGATTAAAACTGGTTTCCTAATGCAAACATTTTGTCTACGTGATGATGCAATTTATCGCCAATAAGAGGACAGCCACATAAAAAAACTGATGTCTATTTGTTAAATCGTACCTGTGCCAGAACGAAGTTAAACTGTGCATCAGCTTGCTCCATCTTGTCACCTTCAAGAAGACAGAAATAAGCTCTACCAAGAAGATGGTTCTGTTGGAGTTTTAACAAGAAAAATTAATCAAAGGACACAAATTAATCAAGGACACAGAACAAAATCAAAATGCCATTGGCTGACTATGAAATATCAAACCAACAAGTGAAAACAAAAACATAAAAAATATATACAGTCAATGTCATTAACGTTGTCCACTGAAAAAAGACATTTGCACGTTGAGACTAAAAGAAATATTACGTGTTTCCTCAAATCTTAATCCTAACTAAATGGTCAGGGCATTCTGGATTTTTGAGTCACGAGTTGAATTTTACATTTAAAGTTCAGGCTGACGCACACGAGGCAAAGAATACATAATGAAACATGTGATATATCTTTTAGTCTAAATGTCTAAATGTGTAAATGTCTTTTTTCGGTGGACAACGTTAATGACATTGACTGTATATTGTATATATAAAGAATTACAATCTTACCTGATCATACATAATAATCTTGTCAGCCAATGTGTAGAGTGACGTTGCCTAAAACATAATACATCATGTTAAAGCACAATTCATGCGTCTGTGATGTGCATAAACTCAAGACATCTGAGATTTTGGCTTCTGTCAATCAGAAATTAACGTAACTTTGGTGTAAGATGAGCAAGAGAAATCCACCCCTTCCCTGAAAGGGTAGTAAATGTTAGTGATAATAAGAAACTCACAATCTTGACCCAGAGTCCTGTATCGACAGTAATATAAAGCAAAGAATACACAACTTCAACAATACAAACTCTTTGAAATTTCAAGGACCTTCATTAAAACATGTGAAAATGCTCCCATTTCGAGTACTCCTTTGATCAGTCTTAGCCTCGATTGTTTACAAATGTATTCTTTTCTTTTATTAAGGTCCATTGTATAGTAAGGAATGTACGTACTGCGCAACAATACGAGTTGATTAAAATGCTGCGGGTTTTGGTTGAACAGCTGAATATTATAACGTACAACCGAGACTAAGGCTAAGCAAAGAGAACTCGAAAATGGAGTTTTCTTCAAAAAATTGGGGCTAACCCTGAGGACCAGATGATTCAAAACAGGAGTATTTCAGAAATGTATACCTGCGTAAATAGTTCTTTCTTAGCTTCTTTATTCTTTTCTTTCCTGGCCTGCTGAACATAAAATGCGGCCAGGGTGTCCAGGCACACCATCTGGTCTTTCTCACTGTCAGTGTAGGAATGATTGGCATCTGAAAAAATATTGCTTGTGTCATCAGACTTTTCTTACAGTGTGACATGCCTTACTGTGGCCACCCAACTTATTTTTTACCAATGCATTTTTACTCTTTCCCGGCAAATGTTTCCATCAATTAAAATACTTAATAATAATAATAATAAGTATATGTAATAGGACTCCATGCAGTGCAATTAAGAAATAATTGGACGAGAAAAATTCCGAGGACTGACAAAATTGGACAAGGCCGTAGGTCGATTATTTCTTGATTGGACAGCATGAAATCCCATTACCTATTAATTATATAGCTGCCTAATTAATCCCATATCAACAAGACCTGTCCAATTAAGAAAATAATTGGACAGTTACCTATTACCTATATGGGACTAATGAGAAGCTGTATAATTATAATAATAATAATTTAATCACTTATTGTGCGCACATTCCATATAATGATCATGCACACATTACAATAATAATATAATATATATAATATAATACTTCTTATGAAAGTGTCCAGTTAAGTTCGGTGGCCACTGTTAGGCGCGCCGCACTGTAATGGTTTTTTACAGAGATACTGTAGTGGACGGATGATCGTTTATGCCTTTATGACACAAAATAAACCTTGTAGAAATGCATTTCAACTAGTTCTAGCTAATTTTCTTACCATTCTTTGCATTTTCCAAGATTTTCACAAAATCATCCATCTTCCCTTGCTTGTAGTATTGTAACTATGAGAAAGTATTTAAAAAAGGGTATATACTGAGATTAACAAATGATGAAATACTGAGACTTAGGCAGTACAAATAAGTTCAAAAACTGTTGAGCACTCCTTATCTTCTTATGATTTACACTACAGGGTCTCAAAAATTAAACATCTCACGGGGCAATATGACATTTTATCACTTGTAGAACTAATTGTAAGAATTCAGAAATAATGGAGTAAAATAATGAAAATTCAGAAATAATGGAGTCTTTAGTAAAAACCAAGAGACTTACCGCCAAAGTATTCCAAATGTTGAGTCGAACATCTTCTTGCTTCAAAATTGTCAACAATTCTTCTCCATCTGGAAGCTGGTCGAACTGGAGTTCTATGACCTAAATAACGAAAATAGAGACGTTAGATACTTATCTATGTAAATTCTGGTCTTTTCTCGCATATATTAGTGAAGAAATACTCGTATTTACCTCGTCTGTGTCGCGAAGTGGAATCTCTATGGACGACGCCATCTTGGATATGGAGAACAAGACTACCCACAATGCCGCATAATACCACAGGTAACCCAATCCAATGTTCCAAGTTTGCTTCTAAAATAAATTGGAAGTCGCGCGCGCGCTTATAAACTCTTACCATAACATATAGTATTCCACGAATTACTAACCCTAGTTTTGTTTAAACGGATCCCACACGGAAGAGAGTAAAATAGATGGTTGGGTATCCGCCAAAAATTTCGCTGAATTGAGTTTGCTGGTCATAGCAAGGGGTTAATCTTAGGATTCGGCTGAGCTCCTTGATCAGGCTGTAATAGCGGTGTCGGGGTCGAAATCTCCGGTTTAGCCGTTAATGCTTCGCGCTGCCATACGACGCGGTTCAGCACTCGATGTCTGGAAGTATGGTCCTTTATATTCAATAAAAAATAAATAAAATAAAAATAAAAATAAAATAATTGTTTTAAGTGGTCAGCAATTAAAGCCAAAGGAAGGCTTTACCAATAATCACTAACCTTATTTTGTTAAAACGGATCCCACACGGAAGAGAGTAATAGTAGATGGTTGGGTATCCGCCAAAGGAAGGCTTTACCAATAATAGCGATGTTGTCGGGGTCGAAATTTCCTGCGTAGCCGTAAATGCTTCAAAAAGACAATTCCGCACTCGATGTCTGGAAGTATGGTCCTAAGTTCTCTAATATGTTTTAAAGAAAACGAAGGTCAACGTGAGACTCTGAGACTGGCTCTGGTTAATGCGCATGCGCCAGGTTCACGCATATGCATATCCATCCATTAATTGCGTGCTTTCTTTTTTCCACGCAGCCTGAGATAACTAAGTGACGATCTGAATTCTGTTCATCTTTGCCTGCCGTGACCTATTTGCTTGGCTTTCACTTTAACATTTTGAGTCGTTTTTATATAATGATAGAAGTCAGCAGTTTTGTGGAGCTCAAACAAAATTGTGTAAATGGTTTTTCGTCATCACTTCAATGACTAGCTTATCAGTATTTTTACAAAGGTGACTTTCAAAAGACTTGCGCAAGGAAAACAAGCACGGTATAAGACCCCTTGCAGCACTTTGGAATGCAGCTCAATCTGGGGAACAAAACAATTCTCAGGAGATTGAAATTCTTTTGTTTTGTCCCCCAGATAGAGTTGCTTTGACGTCACATCAAGGTGTCTAAAAAGGGATTTATCAGCCTTTCGCGCTTGCCATTATTTGATACCGCTGTTGATATACGAGTGATGTTAACTGATGATAAACTGAAACAGCGTTTGTGAAGTAACAAGAAACGGCAACAATAAAGGAGCAAATCGAGGGTTTTTGTGTGCAAAATGAAGGGTAAAACAAGAAAAAGCGGTACGCAAAGCCGTGGTAATTATTTCGCGCAGCCACGTATTCTTTATAAGGTCTGTAAGGAATAGTTCACACAAAATGAACACACAAACACGTTAACACTCAAGGCAATGAATAATCTTCTTTATATAATAAATATTCTACAAAACAGAACACATTTTTTTGAATAGTCAATTCATATCATTATACAAAAATATACCAAAACTATAATTATAATCCAGCGAAATTCTATAGTCTTGTGCAGTTTATAAATATTGTTCGCGTACGTGAAAATTGTTTTTCGCTGATTTCCTTTTTTTTCCATTTTTTTGAGCATTACTTGACGACATCTTTTAACAGACAAGAATATGATTGGCTCAACGATGATATGTGAGAGAAAAATATGATTGGTCTAAAAATAATGACGTAGTGATCGACAAGATATAATTGTGAGAGCCAAGAATATTATTGGCCTAAAGATGATGACGTCTTGAACGGCAAGAATATTATTGGCCTAACAAAAATGATGTCACGAAAGGCAAGAATATTGGCCTAACAATAATGACGTCACGAAAGGCAAGAATATTATTGGCCTAACGAGGACAATGTCTTTTGAAGAGCAAGAGAAGATTGGACAAAAACGATGATCCAATGTGATAAAGAAATTATTAATCTAATGATGATGGCGTCAAGTTTAAATAAACGTTTTTAAGGGCTCACGGAACGAACGGTTGCCATAGTAACGGCATAATTTTATGACTTCGTCATTTTATGACCACTTTTTGGTGCGACTTATTATTAGGTCCTGAGGCATAATCCCTGTATCATTTAGATACAAAATAAAAGCTGCGTCATTAACATCAGCACTTCGAATCTTCCCCTAGCGACAAACTTTTCACCAGTGCTTTTCCCGTTGCTATGCTAACTGTATTGGACCGCGTCAGTTGGGGGATTGAAGAAGAACGCGAGTCCTTCTCCGGTTCCGAGTGACGCCTGGTGAGAGTTGGTTCAAGCTCTCGAGATATTAGGTACAAGTCGTCCTCGGTCATTATCTTATGGTCGAGGAGGAATTCACGTATTTCAGTGACCTGGGGAGAGAAAAAATGTCGTTTATCAGAAGTATAGACATACAGACATACGGACAGACAGACAGACAGGACAGACAGACAGACAGACAGACAG